AAATGGGGAAGCAGATGGAGCAATATTTGCTATCATAAGTGCTTTTATTTCYRAATTTAAAAAACAAAACAAACAAACCCACCCCTAAACAATAGTTTCACTGGCACAAAATGTGCTGCTGATCTGAAAGGGCAGACCAGATGGAAAAAAGGTCTGAAGTTTTCTAGATTAAACAAAAATTATTGTCTATAGAAAGGAACTAAACTACAGAAATATTGGCCCTGTTGCTCAAAACAGGGTATTTTTCTCTCTTTTAGAAGTGAAAACACATCTGGTTCACWAGTAAGTGAAAGAATTATATCCTTGAAAACTGCAGGGGACACTGCTGCAATTTGGCACTCCCTGGAACACAGCTACAAGGATATTTTAAAGCCAGTGGTTGTACTYAGGATACAGTCCCTGCTGAAAACACAGGAAAAATTAAATGTGTGTACACTAGCTGGCTTGGAAAACATACCTCATGTTATACAGAATTAGATTAACTCACAAGGAAATATTCTTGAGAAAAATTATCTTTACCTACTGCTGGTATCCATATGTTGCAACCTAGCGATAATGCCACTATTTAAAAAGTATTTAAAACTTTCTCCTAACTTTTTCCAATAAATCTTGCAAAACAACTTTTTTTTATGTGTTAGACAAGGGTCTGCTGCTCCTCACCTTATCAGTGTGGGCCTTCAAATGAATATTTCATGGACTCTGCAACTATTTCTCATTACAAAAGTAGAATTACACCTCTTGGAAAGGAGCTGCAACAATAAGTACTTGGATAATAAATACGGCTGCAGGTCAGGAAAGCTTTTGAGAATTCAAGAACATTTGTGTACATAAACTGATGATTTATTGCCTGAGAAGAAAACTAATGTGCACTGTCAGTGATTCTGTTTATCCTTAATAAAAATTAGTAACTAAAAATAACTTCAAAATTGTAATTCAAATATCCACACATGTAAAAACACATTTCATTTGTAAAATAAAGCTCTTTATGCTTCATTTCAGCAATTTTTCCCAGTATACTGACACCCTTTAATGCTCCCCACTCTAAAAAAAAGAAACTTCTGTAACCTGGCTTGCAATATTCCTTCTTTCAATTCATTCTGAAGTTTAGAAATACTTATGGGGGAACCCAGAGCTACAGGAGTTTAAAAACTGTCCAGGGAAATCACCTAAGGCTGCACATTTGACAGCAGTTTCATCACACCCCAGCCCATTTAGTCTCTCAAGTCTTCCATTACCTGCASATGATGGTTGGTGGTTATGCACAAAACAGCTTATCCAACTCTGGAGCAACTAACCCACCCTTTGGGAGCTCAATTATCCATCAAAACCTTTAATTCAGATAATAAGCTTCGATGTACAGCTCTACATTCACCTACTAAAGTTTGTTCTATCARTGCTGTGAAGTTTCCTTGTTCAATATTATTGCTCGGAAAGGAGACTTTTCCTTTGCACCAGGAGATCACTTGGACTAAAGAAACCCACTCTCAAATTTCCCACTGAAATGCGAGAGAGCTCAGGCCAGCCAGGTGCCTGGTGTTGCTTTTTCTGAGCCTCCTCACAGATCACTCGACACTTACACTATTGATTTTTATCCATTTCTTTCYATTTTGCTCCAAACTCCACTGCAACACCAACCACAACAGCTGGAGCTACTGTTCTGTAATTGAAGACAGAGGAACAGATCAAACTCTGGGAAGGTGAGAGAACAGACAGCTGAAATGAAAGTGGTAAATCTCTAATATTCAGATCTTCAGCCAGTTAATACCAGGACAAATACTTGTTTTGGGGAAGTGATTCAACTGTTGAATGAATGTTCATCTGAACATCTCTGAGAATAACTTTGTTCAAGTTAGAAAATCCTGATTTTTCTTAAGCAAAAACCAAAAAAATATTCTAAAGTAAAAGCTCAGTGAAGTTTACAGTGAAACGAGAGCCTCAGAAGAAAGTCAAGGAAATTACACCCAGTGGTGGTTGATGTGAAGCAAAAGYTAATTTGGGGGCTGAACTACACTCACTCTTCCAAAGATATGCCCATTGTGGCACAGCTTTATAACCACTTATGCACCATCCAAATACATAAATAAGGCGCCCTGACGCTCTTCCATACTCTTTCTTAGTCCTAGCTTACGCTGCTGCTCAAGTAGTAAACTCAGAGGAGAATGCCTCGGGTCTGTAAATAAACCCGTGGGTTTGGTGTGACAGGAACAGCAGAGCACCCGCGACTCACGACAACCAAACTTGGGAGGCCACCTGGAATCCTGTCACAGCTGTTGTTTACTACAGAACATTGCAGGAGAAAAATCAGCTCAGTGGGGAGCTGAGGGTATGAGGACTCAGAGGAAATGTGCTGGAGGGGCAGATGGCACTGAGGAGMAGGGGAAGACTTCAGTTTGCAAAAGTATGTGTGTGGTTCACCAACTTATTTCAACAGTACTTCGCCTTTATGTCCATTTCTTTATGATAGTTCCCACATTTAGGGATAAAATCTGATTGCTCAGAAAACCATCCTGTGTCACACATAGAGGGAATGCTCATATCACCTCTGGGAGCTGACATCATCCCACACGTCCTCAAGGGTTCGCCAGAAAATAAATCAAACTCTTAACTAAAATCTAAATTATGCTTAAGCAGTGTGTCATTGACAAAATAATGAGGTTGAGTCAAACTTTCTGCATCCTTCCTCCCTTCTGTTTGACCTCTGTTTTCCACAAAAACTATCACCGTGCAGTCACTCAGCTCCTGAGCCAAAACGTGCACAGTCTGTGCAGGAAACAGGAACCCTCTGGATTTTCTTACCACCTGTACCAAAGCAGCCAGGACTGAACCACATGCTATTCTCATCAGAATTTCTGGGCAAGGAGTGGTTAAAAAATATCTTTTTCCATTTTGCATTTGCTAATTATCACTTTGTTTAGCCCTAATATTAGTGCAATAAAAAGCAGCTGTCAGGCCAGGCATGCTCAGTCCAAGTGACCTTGTCTTCTTGTTTGTGTTTACCACATAATCAGCAGGGAATTCCATTTTCAAAATACAAGGCTTCATAATCCATTAGCACTAGAGATTGGTCCAGGGCTCTGGATTTACTGGTCACGTGTACYAAGGAATAAAAATATGAGCGTACAGCCAGATTAATCTGCAGACCTGTAAAGCATCCCGACCCACCACGCAGCAGGCTCATTCCAAGCCACATAAGAATATTAGCATCATTCTTAAAAGCTACCATTAATACCATCTCCACAGTAAATGAAGCACAAATTAAATGCTACCTGCCTGACAATTTGGAAAGTGTGAAGACACACAATAACTAAGGCCACTTCTCAGCTTTTCTACTTTTTTCATAAGTGGAATGTAAGTACTGATGTTATTATTAATACACCAACAACCCACATCTCCCCAGCTATTTCTAAAAGGCAGGAATCACTTTCACTGCTCTTAGTTTTAAATCAAAAGCAAGTCCACGCAGCTTAGCTCACCATCAAGTTCAATAAATCAGATAAAAGAATCAATGGAAAGCATTTCAAAATGTAACCTTGGTAACGTGTAAAATGCTTCCCCAGAACTTACACTCATTTGCTTTATTTGCTGCTTTAGGAAATGAAATATCACACATAGGCAGAAGGAYATTAGTATCACAACACTGCATCTCCCTAACGTAATACTGCACGTGCTCTCATGGAAGGCACTTAATGCAGTGTGCCTTAACAATCTGCAGCCTGGCAYGTTAGGTGATTGAAAAATAATCATATTTCATGTTGACAAAATGGAAAATGGAAGTGTTCAATAGGAAACAATAATACATATTCATTCTTTTATGTCCGTGCACGGCACTTTAAACATAATTTGTTTCATGCTTTTCACTGATAAAATGAGCATAAACTCCATGGTGTTATAACAGCATCTGCCATTTGAAGAATCAACATTTGTCAGTGTTACCACTCAATTTTAACTGGTCTTACACAGCCCTCCTGCACGCAACACTTAGACTGAAAATGACTATTACTGTGTGTACCACTGTGTGATATTTGTTGGCAAATACTGACTTTTGAGTCGCAACATAATTATTCAATATTTATATATATACATCTACCAGGATAAACAATCTCTGATTCACACCGAGACAGGAAATTTCAAAATATTTTGCTGCTCATCTCAGCATCCTATAACTAAGATGTTTACTATCCCAGCCAGATCCTAAAGGGCATACCATTATTCCCACAGCTCAGCCAAGCTAAGCAGAAAAACCTTTTCCCTAGAAGAGTGTCCCCTGCTACCTGGAGAATGTCAAACAGAGGTGCCACAAAGTAGGATCACTCTCCACTCTTTGTATGTCTTCCCAAAATGCCAAGGACAGTCTCATTTTGAGTAATGGTTCTGACCTTCTAAGATTACCATGCTCCAGACTTTTCAGTTTTTCTCCTGGTTGTGTGAAAATGAGCATTTCTTCCTCAGCTYTGCTAACTCTTGTTGCTTATCTCCTATGTGAAGTGAGGATGACCTTCCAACAGTGGCAGATGCCTGCAACAGTGGCACCCGGCCATAAAATGCTGTTCAATTCTACAAGTTAAACAAGCATCAGAAATAAAATTCTGCTCAGGAAAYAAAAATAGAAGCAGCTTTTTAATTCATAGGTTTTAAACCAATAAGGACCGYTCACCATCGTGATGTTAGCATAGACTATTTCTAAGGCAATCAATCACTTCATAGCAGTTTTTTTAGGGTTTTTCTCCAAAGCAGGCATCACAAGGCTTGCATCACACCATCAACTGATCCAAAAAGGTAATCAAAAAAAGCCTAATTCAGAGATGAATCATTTTCCTTTTCAACCCTATCTGCTGTCACACATGGAAACCTTCCCGAGCTGAAAACAGTCTCCCCCACAGGCGCRCACACCACCACGGGAAGGCTGCCCCAAAAAATAAAGATGAAATTCTCCTCTGTGAAGTCCACCAGGTCAATTCCTGGTTTTGTTACTTACATAATAACCAGGTTTTGTTACTTACAAGGCACAGCATGGCGATAAAGGTTATCTCGAATGGTCTGCTGCAGGTCGTGATCCGGAGACCCCTTCTGAAACCTCTGGTTGAGATAATGCCGCAGATCTTTGTTCAGTCTGCTTCCTGCAAATTAAAAAAAAAAAAAAAACAAAACCAAAACAGCTATTTATTTATTTCTAAATGCACACAATTAACATTTCCAACTGAGGCAAATGTTAGATTTCCATTCAGAGTCCCCTAAATTATGGCATGCTGACTTTACGAGCGGAGGCTYGTCTTCCTCTACAAATGGCTAATTACCAAAAATAACTCGCTGTAAACAAGAGGTCTCTCTTGTCTCATAATGCATCTTTCYTCCTGTGGTGTTAAACAGATCATCATTCCCTTTTATCACTTATTTGTCTGAGCAAATGGAGAAAGACAGATGACRGGGAAAAGAAGAAAAATAATAAAGGTATTGCTTTTGCAATTCATGGGAGGGTGAGCTGGGCAGAGAGACAGAAGGCAAAAGCTGCTCCCACTGGAGGTACTAACAAACCTCAACATGCCAAAAAATCAAATAAGTGCTATACTTTGTACTGGTATCTATCCCAATTCATAGCAGGAGTTACAAAAGTATTGATTTAATGAGTTAAGAGCACCCAAAGTCCATAAAAACAACAAAATAATATCCAATTGTTTTCACTTCAATCTATTTATTTCCCTGTTGAGGTTTGAATGCCTTCAGAAGTGTGAAAGAAGATAAATGAGTTGAAAACAAAACAGAAACAAATAAAAAAGAAAAAACAAAGAGAAGGAAATGTAGCTATTAATGAACATTGCCAGTTACTGAATAACAAATCCTTTTTGTAGCACAATATATGAAGTGGAGAAACTTAATAAAGACTTTTCCCAAAACTATTTCCAAGTCTGGAATAACACTGACATTAATTTGACTGAAGAGAAAAAAAAGGGATAGCAACTCTTCTGTTCTAAAATGAAAAGAATAAAAAACCCTGGAAAAGCTTCTGAGAAACACAACCAGGATGATCAAAGGCTGRAGCAGCTGCCACACAAGGACCAGGAGAGGGATGTCTGCTGTGGATTCATCAGACTCCAACATGTCCTGAGGTCAGCTGGGGACCTGGCACTGCCTGCCCTCCCAACACAAAGACCAGGAGCCACCAAGGAAAGCTCCACAGGAGCCTGGGTCAGAATCAGGCAGAAGGGGCAGAGCCCACACAGGCTGTGCAGCTCTCACTGGAGAGTGTGTGGGGGCAAGAAGCTCATGGAGAGGGTTCAAGGAGAGATGGAAAGGCACTTGTAACTCAGAGCCATTGTGGGCTGCAGAATCACWGAATRGTTTGGGTTGGAAGGGAYCCTAAAGATCATCCTGTGCCAACCCCCTGCCATGGACAGGGACACCTCCCACCAGACCAGGTTGCTCCATGCCCCAYCCAGCCTGRYCTTAAAAAKAAGAGGGRAAAGGAAATYCCTTGAGCTGCTGGCTGGCAGACCTGGGAATAAAGTGGGGTAATATCCAAACATCTTTCTCTTTTCCTTCCCTTTGCCAGGCATCTTATTTATGACACCAGCTGGGGCCAAAATGCTGGACTACACAGAGCTCRGGCTGAACCACTGCAGCTGTTTCCACAGCTTTCTATCATCTGCATTATGACTTTTTGGATGGTGAATATGTAACACAGAGATCATCTCAATACATCTGGACACCGAACACAGCACCATAGTCACAGATTCCTGGCTGGAGCCTCGAGAAAGCACTGCAGAGCAAATCAAGAGTAATAACACTGCAATGGAGTGCAGTTGGACAGGGGTCTGGGAGGCAGCAGCAGCACCAGGCAAATGTGAAAGGAGAAAGAGTTACATGACCATGGCATCAGCCTGCTGCAGACCTGCAGCATGTTTAGAGAAATGCTGGTTTAAAAACAGAACTAAACACAAAAACCCCCTCAGCCTGAAGTACTACGTCAAATTTTAAAAATAACGATGTGATTTGTATTTGGATCCTCCTGACAACTTCTTTTAATTGAATCTCTTATTGAAGAAAGGAAGGCTCAGGCAGCAGGCCCAGCTATTAACAGAAAGAAATTATTTGAAGACCAAGATGCTCGTTAGAGAAATGAAACAACAAAACTGAAATTAAGGGAGATATAATTGGCGCAACACACTTTCCTGAGTGACCCCAGCAACACCCCTCACTCCAAGAGCATATTATCAACCCATTTTCTAACAAATGGTCTCCAGTTATTACACCATAACCCTGGGTTCCCACACAGGACACAAYTGGAGGCTTTGGTAGACTTGTGGGCTACAGTTTTTCAATGTCAGAGCTGACTGTCAAACATACAGATGTTTGATTTCGAACCTCATTGTTTTACTCCAGAGGGAGACTGGGAACAAAAAAAGAGAATCTGCTGAAATAATAAAGCARTTCTGTATCTTTTAACTATACAGTCCATATTTTTCTTTGCACAAGAGAGAGAAAGACAACATGCTTTTTCATAGAAAAAAGGGACAAATATGACAAACTGTTTGGGCAAAATGCAAGGGCTTATTCCAGGGAAGAAATTAACGCACTGAACTGCAGGTATCATATAAGTAAACTCTCCCCCAAAATACTGTATGATCCCTGATTCAATGATTTATGTCACAATAATGTCTTGAGGTGAAAAAGCTCTGCTGAGSTAGGGCTTGTTTGACCAGAGAAAATATGCAATTTACTGATGWTATCTGCTTTTAGCTTCCCTCTGTGCCCATTCCATCTAGCATCTCAGTCTATTATGGCCCTGCTGGAAAGTTTGGTTATTTGGTTTATGCAGGAGCTGGGATTTCCCAGCTGAGTCACTGAAGCTCTAGTTAAAAAGGCACTTGCAAAAACAGGAGCTACAGCAACACTTACACTCATCTAAGTGTCCCCTCCGGGAGCTCACAGGGATGCTTATTTCTATTGCGTTTATTTTAGGAGGAAAAAAAAAAAAAAGCAGAAGCAGAAAAGAAACCCAACCCCAAAAAAGCTTGCTAAGCTACATTCCTATTGCTAAATTCCAGGAAAGTCTGGACAGAAAKAAAGGCTTCTTGCAGCTCTGATGATCTTGGCTCAGCAGTCCTTGAGGCCACAAGCTGTGGGCACGAGCAGGTTCAGCAACTCCCTCCACTGCATGGCAGAAGAAAATGAGCTAACATTGAAACTAACTCTGTGTAGGAAGCTGCCAAAGGGATCCACCSTGGGAAACGCTGGATTTTTTTTACCATTTGAAATGTTCCACTCCACTCTGATCTCCTCCAAAAATCTCCCCCAAAGCTGAGAGAGCATATACTTGACACTGGCTTTATTCAGTAGGTTCCAGGGCTGGATGCAAGTTTATAAACTCTGCCATGCTCTGAGTCCGAAATGTATGCACCCATAATCCCTGAGAACCTGAAAAATATGCCAGTGACATTTCAGCAGCCTCCTCTGTGCAAATCTTAGCAGCAAAAGTCATTCTGGTCCTCAGGGGCACCGCTGGCTTGTGCAAACGCCCTCTGAGAATGAGCCTCACCTGTGGCTCCTGTCTGTGCATCAGCCACCACCAGGGAAACACAGGGGCAGGAGCCCAGAAACACCTGATTATATGCAAAAATCCTCCCYTTTGTAAAATCTAAATCCATGCAGCTGTGCTGAAGAAAACACTTTTTTTTTTTTTTAGATGAGCTGTGTTAACCAGAAGTACACACTGCCCTTCCAAAACTCTGTTCTCATGGAGACTGGGTTTTACATTTACTCTTTTGAGAACCTTGCTTTTCTTCTCTGCTAAAAGCATGTAAAAAGATCCAGCAGTGACAATAGTGGAGGAACAAGAGATGCAGCCCAGGAACAGCAGTTTCTAAAGCAGAGGATTCAGGTCTGAACACCCAGTGTTCTGCTCCTCCTTGGATATGTTGGAAATCATTTATTTGCACACAGAAAAACCACCTTGTTATTTCTGTAATCAAAATTAAGCTGATRTATGTAGCCTTAAATAATCAGAGATTCCAAGAAATTAAAAACTTGCCAAAATTTAGTTTCACAAGTGAGACGTGTTCAAATTTTTTTTTTGTTGCTTTGCAAGTTTCCTTTCCTTTTTGTCTCTGCTGAATAAAATAAATGTCTTTTTTTTATGTGAAGATACAGTCAGACAATGAAGTTTCCACTGCTTCTCCCCCACAGTACTAGTCCAATTTAGTATCTGAATCCTTTGAATGAAACACAGAGCAAGTCACTAAATGGCTGTTTTTCTCAACTTTTATTAATTATTATACTGTATTTTAGAGAATGCCAATCACCCTCASCAGCCATTCCATCATAACATTTTAGTAGCAAAAAGAAACCCAAGGGAGAAATATCTCTCATAGTAAAAAMAAAATATTTACTGACATATGGTTTTCTGAGAAACAATAAACTGTCAGGTTTGTGTAGCTCAATGTGTAACTTAGATGGGTTTGTGATTAATGAAAAATATTGACTGTTTCTAAACACATTGTTTTCAAACCCACGATTCTGTCACACATTTGTCCTCCAACAGTTACCTGATATAAAGCCACTAGGGAAGCTATGCTTTGAGCTGTGCTCTGACATTCAGTGCTAAAATTCCCAGTTTCTGCAGGAAGAGAGCTGAATGTGGGATCATCCAACACCAAACAGCACCTCTTGGAGAGCACTGCCACCAGCACAGACCTGAGGCTGAGAGCCTCCTGCCCCGCTGCCTTCCAATAAGGAAAGCAGACTGCACAAATGACCAAGCAGAATCTGATTTTTTTTTTTTCCCCCAAGAAAAAGCTGAGTGTGAACATCGCAGGGCTGCCAGCACCTTCCTGCCAGCTGGTGGATAGTCTATGCCAGGACTGTGCAATATGTGTACTCTGAAGATGTATTTTAAACTCACGCTTTATGCATTTGGAAACGATCATTTTGCAGTTTATGTTTGTATTAATTACTGCAGCTGTTTGATCCCATTTCTGTTTGGAGATGGTCACAGATAATCCTGATAAACAGCCACACTCTGACAGAGCCTATAGATGCTCGTGCAAAGATGGGTCAGGGTCAGGCCCGGGACACACTGGTCCCTGACCTATATTACACTCCTGTAAGCAGATTACACCAGTAT